GCAGAAGAGATCGTATATGCTGAATTTCTTTTTACAAAAAATTATGGAACTATTAGTAGTTTATTATAAATATTTTTTTATGAATTATGATGTTTCGATTACATATTATCATGTTTCAGAATTCCAGTATTATTATCAATCCCTTGTGTAAAGGATTGTTTCATATAATTTTAACTGACAAATTAAATCAATACAAACGTATAAGTTTTCGAAGATATGTCTAGTAGATGCATAATTCAGTTTATACCAACCACCACCGTATCTCCCATGTTATCCGTTTACAATGTAACCTGAACACTTCTGTTTTTCACATAAGTATATGATTGATAATTGTATTTCATTAATATCATCGTTTTATTTTTCATAGAGATGTATACTCGCCAAACCTTATAAACTATTAACTTCATAATCAATATAATATTATTAATTTTCTTGTTTCTAACATTGGAACGTACCAATAGCATCATAAGTCAAATATTTACATTTTCTTTGTGATATTCTATAACTCTATATTGATAAAAGAGATAGGCATGCTTATAGAGTTTTGTTTTAATTTTATTTTCGCATAGTCATATATATTTTACACTTTTAAGTTGAAGTTTATGTAATTTTTGTAATTTTTTTTCAATTTTTGTACATCCTTTTGTTTATTATTCGTCTTTTTATTCATTGTAAATGATTTTTATTCCGTATGTATTAGTATTTCTTTCTTTGTTAGCTTATGTCCTCTCCATATTCTACCTTAACTTTTGTTTCTTAATTAATATGAATTATTTGAAATTTTTACTTTTTACAATTTGGTTAGTAACTTGATAATTATTTTGTTAGTTTTTAAATTTAATTTTTTCTTAATTAATTTTAAGTGTTAACACATGTCATCATCTGATTATATTAGATACATGTCGTGATCTCGGAAGTTATAATTTTGCTTATGTGTCAAACTCATATAAAAATGCATTGCGGTAAATATTTTTGATTTTGAAATTGACAACTCCTATAATTTGACTAATGTATTTAGATTCGAAATTACGACTCGCATAAATATTTCAAATTTATTTTATTATGAAATCGTCAGTTTGTTGTATTTATCATACTAAATTGTCTCATACACATTATTATATTAGCAAAATAACACTTACAATATTACATCTCCTTTAGTTTTTAGGGAGAATTACAAAAATGCCACTTTTTAATGACACATTTACAAGCGTGCCACACCCACATGACTCTTTACAAATCTGCCACCTTTTTGTAAGAAAGAGACAAAAATGTCCCTTTCTCTTTTTTCTCCTT